GGCTTTGAGATGGGCTCCCCCCAACCCCCTGGAGTTTCATTTTACTACTTGTTTGTTTTCTTTTTTCTCTGTTGTGTCGTGTATGTGGGGAGGATGAGATTGTTTGTTAGATTCTGTGATTTGTGTGTGACTCTGTTTTGGGTTTTGTTTGTCATCATTCATTGCTTGGACTCAGCTTCCCTGGAAATGTCAACAGCTACAAGTAGTAGGCAAGGAACATTATCCACTTCAATATCACCTGGTCAACATCAAGAAAGAACCATAAAAACAGGTAATAAATATAAAGACAATGCTATTTCTCAGAAACAACAGATATTCTCAGGACACATGAGAAAGCAAGATACAAGACAGGGTGGCCCATTTCCATCAAATAGAGAAGAGTTAACACCAATCCCACACAAGCTATTCCAGAATACAGAAAAGGGTAATAACTCTTGAACTCATTTTATGAAGCAAATGAAATCCTGATACCAAACTTGGGCAGACTTGCCAAAACAGAAAATTAAAGAAAACTATCCCTTATGAGCATAGATGTAAAAATTTTCAATGATATGCTATCCAATAGAATTAAATAAAATTTTACAAAACACATAATGATCACAGGATTTATACCATGTAGGTAAGGATGGTTCAACATTAGAAAAGCAATGCATTCCACCATATACATTATTAAAAGAAACATATCAATAGATACAGAAAAGGTATATGACAAGAACCAGGTGCACCTCTGTCCTCAAAGTAACATCCTTGCCTTTTAATACTCCAAAGAAGGTCTTGTGCAGCAGAATTACTCAATGCAATTTGATCTTCTACCCCTGGAATACTGCATCCAGTATAAAATCCTTGATAATATCAATCTTTTTTCCGCTTATCATGATGTTACTTATTGGTCCAGCTGTGAAGATTTTACTTTTCTTTACAATGAGTTGTAATACATATTGAAGGTTGCAATCCTTGATCTTCAAAAGCAAGTACTTCAAATCCTCCTCACTTTCAGCAAACAAGCTTGTGTCATCTGCATATCAAAGGCGTAAATCAGCCTCCCTGAAATCCCGATGTGGTGTTCTTCACACAATCCAAATTCTCTGATTACATACTCAAGTCACATACTTAATGTGGCCCTTCTAGCCTCAATCCTTTGAGCCATAATCATCTATGCCTGTGGTTATAATGCCAGTTTGGAGAGAGTTCTCAGCTATGTCCATGACCAGGAATAAGGTAGGATTAAGTTTCTACTTTAATAGAGTGTGTGAACCATATCACACCCTTTGTTTACTTTGGGATATGGTCTGCTGAAGGCCAAAAGCCACACTTCGGAGTTGTTCCTCTGTATATAAGAGCCTCTCAAAGGCAGAGAGAAAGCATCCGGCCCTCAGAAGATGAGTATGGTTGAGATCTCTGTAGAGACCAGAAGCACCAGGGGCTGTGGCATGGAGACCACGGGACAGAGCAAAGGAGCTAGGCTGAGACCAGAGGCTGAAGCACTTCATGAGTTAGAAGCATTTAAAGTAAATGTTATCATAATTTTACAAGCAAGAAACTGAGGTTCAGCAATCAAATAATTAAGAACCAGAGAGAGTATTTAAAAGCTGGGTGTATCCAAATACAAAGTTTACAGTCCACATTTCTTATCTTTAAATGCTTCTAACTCATGAAGATCTCAAAAGTGTTATATTTTGCAGAATATTGCAGTTATTCTTTAATCATTAGAACCAAGAGAACCTTTAGAAAACAGAGGAACAAAATGAAATCCCAAACTGCAATATTAAAAAGCACTGCTAACAGTTGGTGTTCATTGTAATTCTCAGCTTCATTGTGTTCATAAGGTAGCTTGACATAGACCAAAGGGATGCCACATGGTTTAAAATCAGGAAAGCATGCACCAGCGTTAGCTCTTTTCACTCGACTTATTCAATCGATATGGTGAAAAAATAATCCGAGAAGCTGGGCTATAGGAAGAATATCACATCAGAATTGGAGGAAGGTTTACTACGAGGAGGAGTTTACAAGGAGGAGTTTAATGAAAATCAAACGTGGAGCTGCAGGTTAAATTTCTTTGTTACAATTCAGGGCAAAGAACAAAAATCTTCACAATGGACCCAATAGAGACAATCATAATAAATCAAGAAAAAATAGATGTGATCAAGGATTTTGGCTTGCTTGGACCCACAATCAATGCTCATGGAAACAGCAGTCATGAAATCAAAGTAGGCATTTTGCTGGGCAAAATAATGCCTTAAAGTTTTAAAAACCAAGGATGTCCCTTGGAGGACCAAAGTGAGCCTGACCCAAACCATGGTCGTTCCGATCATGTGTGAACGTGGGGCAATGAATAAGGAATACTGATGTATGTGAATTATGATGTTGATGAAGAATACTGAAAGAATCATGGATGCCTGACGAATTTGTTTTTTACAGAAACAAATTTGACCTGGAAGAGTACACCCAGGATGCTCGTTAGAATCAAGGAAGATGAGACTTCCTGTCTCATTGTTTGGATAGATCATCTGGATAGGCCAGACCCTGGAAAAAAGACATCATGTTTCATGAAATGGCAGGTCATCAAAAAAGAAGAAGGGACGCCCTACTGGCCTCCCAATAAAGTGAACTGTTACAGTGGCTGCAATTTAACAATTGTGAGGATGGCACAGGACAGCAGCGTTTCAGTCTGCTGCACATAGGAACAGATGTGCAGTTGCTATGGTACCTAACAACAACAACAGTTAAAGTACTTGCCTGCTAACCAAAGAGCTGGTAGTTGGATTTACCCAGAATGCTTTGAAAGAAAGACCTGGCAATTTACTTCCAGTAAATCAATCACTGAAAACTCTACTGAATTAAGATGTCCCGAAGACTTCTGCACTCGTTGAGCTACACCATGACTAATCCGCAGTGTCAACATCCTTAAGGGACGCAAAGGGTGTGTCTTTTCAATATTCTTAAGTCAGAAATGCAGTCTGAAGGAGGCAAAGCCCAACCTGTGAGGTGGATGTGGTAAGGTTTCCCAGTGAAATTCTCATAGGACAGCCTACCCTTAAAGAATGAGGAGATGCATTGTTGTGATGGAAAACAACGTCTTGGTGCAACTTTCCTGGACTTTTTATCTTCCATACGGTCTTCAGGGTCCTTAAGATTTCTTCATAGTAAGCCCCCAGGATCATCCTGTGTCCTTCCAAAAAGCTATCAAGGCTCCCCCTTGGGAATCCTAGAAAGACAGTCACCATCACCCTCTGAGCTAAACTCTCTGCCTTGACTGTAACGGGCCCAGCAGATCCCCTCGGACGTCCTGCTTTGCATTGGGCCTTTATTTGGAGGGCACCTTCCTAAGACTGAGAGGAGCGTGTCACTGAGAGGACTTGTATGCAGTCATCCACTGAGCACAGACAGGTGGCAGCATGTTTTGTTACAAAGAAGCCCGGGCAGGTATGAACTAGAATCGTACTAGCAATACTTTCTCACCTACCATTGTACAAGTTGCTCACAAGTCTAGCCAAGGCATTTTTGGATGAATTTGACTTTTTGAAAGAAGTTTTTTGTTTTGTTTTGTTTTGGTTTTTTAATCATTTTATTTTTAAGGTAATGGGCAGTAGTCGAACTTGTTGTTTTGGACTAAGAAGACAGACTTTCTGATTTTCCCCATTCTTTCCTATATTGCTTTAACCCTGAGCAAACTACATCCCTGAATCTGAGTTTTCTAATTTAGTTCATATGTGGAAAACAGTTTATGAAGTCCTCAAAAGCAATTGCCTTAAAAATAATTCAGCATCAAAATAAACACCATTTATGTGGAGTGAGGCCCATGACGACCTCATTTGTCTACCACGTGGATTTTTCTTGGCTTTAATCTTTACAGAATGGTTCCATGGAGTTCTGTCGACTGTGAGCTTGGCAAAAACAAACCACCTCGCCTGTCTTCCCTGACACTGCTGGGTAGGTTTGAACAGCCAACCTTGGGTTAGGAGACTGGTACAAACCATTTGCACTGCTTGGGTTCCTCCCAATTAAACACCACCCCCAGCACACTGCTAGGAAGCTAGAACAGAGCAGAATTGCCCCAGAGGGTTTCCAAGATTGTAAATTTTTACAGAAGCAGTCTGCTGCATCTTTTTCCTACAGAGCAGTTGGTGAGTTCAAACAGTTGACCCTCCAGTTAGAACTCTGAACCGGAGGGATGAGGGCTCCTCAGGGACCCTCAGGCGACCTGAAATCTCTCACTCACATAATCCAATATCTCATGAGAAACAGAAAGGTATAAACCAAAAAAACCAAACTCATAGACAGCAAGTCAATTCTGTCTCATGGAGACCCTGTAGGAAAGGAAAGAACTCCCCCTGTGGGTTTCTGAGACAGTGACTCTTTCCAAGTCTCTTTTTTTTTTGGCCCCTAAAGCATCAGCCGTGGCTGTTTTTAGGTGCCATCTAGTCCGTTCTAACTCATAGCAATCCTATGTGCAACAGAAGGAAACACCGCCTGCCCTAACACAATTCTTCTTGTGTTAGGAGCCATCCAGGTAGCCACTGTGTCAATCCATCCTGTCGAAGATGGATGATATCCGTCTCCAGGGACTGGTCTCTCCTGACACCGTGTCCGAAGTATTCTGGCTGTACTTCTTCCAAGACAGATTTTGTTGTTGTTGTTCTTTTAGCCACTTGGACATTGGATATAGTGTCAGGAGAGCCTAGTCCCTGGAGAAGGACATTGTGCTTGGTAAAGTGGGAGGGCAGCGAAAGAGAGGGAGGCCCTCAAGGAGATGGATTGGCACGGTGGCTGCAAAGATGGGCTCAGGCCTAGGCACAATCGGCAGGAGGCCCAGGACCAGGCAGTGGTCCATTCTGTGGTGCGTAGGGTCGCAGCTACTGGTTATAAACTGCTGGCCTTTTGGTGAGCAGCCCAACGAGAAACAACTACGCCCCCACAGGGCTTAGGTACAGGTATGCAATAATTTCACTTTAGCAAGGATCCTTCCCGCCCATAGTAATACTTACCGTGAAAATACTTACACATCAAAACAACTGTGCCCCAAAAGGGTTTTCACTGTGTTCTTTCTCGGCAAGCCATAAGCCATGATGAATTATCACAGTCTAATTCCTTTGCAAAGGTGCCTGATCTAATGGCAGATACTCGGGTCACTTTGCCAGAAATGATTGCAACGCGCCAAATCAATTGCTATTCCCTGGAATGTTTACCTAGCCAAACAAACAAAAAGAGATGCTGAAATTCAACTATCAGGCAGTCTGTAATAAATATTCATTGAGACCGAATCGCTACAGTAAAATCATGTTCTCTTTTATTTTCCATGAGCTGCTTTTATCATTTGCTGCCACCATGTAAGGAGAACATTCCAGCTCAGATCTGTCATCTTGGGACAGGAAATCGGTGAACAGCCAACTGCGTTCTTTCATGGTATTTGGTCTTGGACTGAACCTGCCAATCTAGCCCAAAAGCCGCATCAACCAAACGTAGCTGTGGGTGCGGCAATGTTAAATGGCCCTGCCGGGAAAGGAACTTTGGGGCACCCCCAGCCGCCCCCCTCACTTCCCAGCAACCCCGCCCCACCTCCACACTTCCAGAGTTTCCTGTTATTCAAAAATATGAACTGAAAAATTGGCTAACTTTAAGCCGCTCTCCCACTCGCCCTCCCGCTCGCCCTTCGGAGAGAGGAGCCTCCGGTGGCCGGGGTGCGAGCCTGGGGCGAAGGGGCGGGCTCCGCCCTCCGCAACCTTCCCACGCCCGGCCCCACCCTGCCTTCTCCGGCGGGAGCGCGGCCCAGCCGGTGCGGCCGGTTCGGCTGGTCTCGGGGAGC